ATAATATTGTAGAGTACAGAGGAGGAGTAGGGGGAGTTGAGTGGTATAGGTAGCAATTCCTTGCCGTCCGTCGTGGATCAGTGGTCTCCAGCACGGACTGGAAACAGTCGAGTTGCTGGTTCGATCCCTATCAGTGTCCGATGGAATGTGCAGTGCTGACGATTCCCGAAAGGATTAAACGCGCGTACAGTGCTTTTCCGAGCTTGTGCTGGCTGTCTGAGTGAGTCTGAATGTGACGAATTTCTACCTATACCAATAATATTGTACTCATTAGTATATCATTGACACGAGTCATGCAACCTGACTACACTAAACTGCTGTGATCGGAATATCACCGATCGGCTCAACTGATGTCGTTGTATGCAAAGTTTCCAACTGACGCACATAACAGAAGGCATCGGTAGAGCAGTTCATCCTTGCACAACTGAAGTATTGCGAAGGTGAACTACTATACAGATAACCTAGACCTGGTAGTCGAAGTTACCCCACTCATAATCACATCTCCCGCGCGTCATGTTCAGTTGACTAGGTGTCAAATATGCGCTCTCAGCTGAGTCGAAGTCGCCCACCCCTATCCACCTATCACCTTATTTTTCCGACTTCATTTGCTGTCGTACTAACACACATGACTCGCACAACAAAATATTAAGACGATAAATTGAACCAACATATATTATACATATAATTGATTGGATATATACAGTGGTTATCAGCGTGAAGAGTCCCCGATCTCGACAGGAATTTCTGCGCATACGGCTTTCCCTCCAGCTGCCATAAGTTTCCACCTCACTATGGCAGTTACCTACAAGGAAAGCAAAGCGATAGCAATGGTCATGATATTTGAGTCAATTGATATCTGCTTAAGTCGAACGATGCACAAGAAGCTGAGTGGAAAGTAGCATATGTGGCTCACTTGACCGAAGGAGCATCATCGTGCGTGTACGTATTAAGCAGATAGAATCCAGATCTGAAGTGCGTTTCCCACGTATGTGCTTGGAACAGCGAGTGGCAAATGTATGGGATGGGATGCCGGAACGTATATTGGAAGCAAATTCTGTGCAGCAGTACGAACAATCGTTGGATGTGCATTTCTCAAATGTTAGATTCCGAGAACGATTATCCACATGCATCTCAGATTTTTGAGCCCTAAGCTACTGTGAGTTAAACCACTTTTGTTAAAGATACCACGTGAAAAGTCGTAAGACGATTGGAGTATTGGCAAGCCATCGTTTGCTTGTACTAGCGTTGTTGATCTTATTCCAATGGAGTTGTACAGATTTCGATTTCTACTTGCCCCCATAATTCCTTATTCAAATCGAACGCGTCGGCCGATTGAGAACAGACTGTGTATGCCGGATTTCAGTTGTTTGTGCCCCTGACATCTTTTAATTGCAGCGCATCAGACAAGCCAATTCATTGTGAGTGGCTTAACTAGTCCATTTCAGTGGTCGAATGGCTCATTTGCTGGGCAATGTATATGCCCTTCACAAGGTTCCTTTGCTGTACAAGAGGGCAGGTTAACTCACTCACTAGACACAGGTGACAGCGATGGAATTTATGAGTACAGCAGACTATATGTAAGTGAAAACGGCATTCCATGCCTTCAAAGCACTTTGTACTATGATTATAGGATCGGTATTCTTGACACCGACTAAAACACGCTAGTGAGAACTGGAAACCCTAGCTTTAGTGTCACATCCATATGGCTGTAACCATTTTCTTTTGACATCACATTCGATTTTTTGCTTACCTGTGGGTAATGCGGCTTTACTGGTACGGTGTTTGTATATGTGTACACGGTCTCTGAAGGTTGGAGGGGACATGCGGGTTGTGTATAACGACAAAGGTCAGAGTCATCCAGAATGAAAGGGAATGGGGTATTCATAATGATGCCCTCTACAGACGCGGTACCGCTCTTGAGAATCTCGCCTGTGATGACGGAAATGAAGTGGTCATTAATCTGTGTCATTAACAATGCGTTTTATTGGTGCAAAATGGACACGAATGCAACTCGTAACCCACTGGTATTGAAACTGATCTCTATTTTTGCATTTCCTGATCTATACAGTATGCATGGTTCGGATAGACAGGGAGTTACTTTTACGTTCACCAGACTACCCAAAGTGGATCCTGGAATGAAGGTAGAACCGAGCAAAAGATTATATGCTGAGGAAAACACTGTAGCTGTTGCCTAGGTTTTATCATTTTATACCATCAGCAGTCAAACGCATGTAGATGTACGGAATGCAGAACTCACCACAGTCCACATACTTGGTACGCAATTGTCCTAATCCCACGTTCATCGACGTGAACAGTAAAATTGCAACCGTATACATGGTTGTCGTCTGGTAACGTACCGATTTGTTTATTCATGGCTCTGCTGACCCCCATATTTTATACTAACGGTGACCATTGGTACACATGTCAAAGGCGTGATAGAAGCTGGCGATTTATCGTATGATTCGTTTCAAAATCTTGTTCGTCCTTGAGTATAATGACCAGTTGCCTGCTTTTTAGTAATAAGCCATGTGGAGTCATTACTACCAATGCAATTAGATGTAAGCGATTCAATACCTAGCAGTCGTAAATTAACATTGGATTGAAGGATGGGTGGACAAAGCCCGCCTGATAACGTGGCACTACAACCAAGTAACCGGCAGAGACAGCTGTGTAACCGGTTGGTTTAATAATTAAACGATTAAATTCGAAAGTAAAACTTGCACAGGTATTCACCATTTGAAGGCGCGAATTGCGGTCGGGACTAGCGAACGATGAAGCGATCCATATCATCCCTCTTTGCCTCAAGTTGGCCAGACCAAGTCATTTGTTTCAAAAGATATCTCACATACTGATTCGCTAGTGTCTAAACGTACAACGGATCTTAGGTTTTCATTCTTCAGCTAACAGCGATCGCTTTTCTTTTACCATTCTGCCCTTAAGTTGCATTCAGCCTATTGGTATTCCTCAAAATGGAGGTCCAAAATCGAATGCTAGTATTTAGCAGACAGAAGTTAGTGCACACACGTCCGTACAGGGTAGACCATCTATTTAAACAGAAGTGACACACGGTATTGTAGCGCCTAAAAAGCTAACTGCTATCTTTCATGTACAATTTAATTGTTCACCGATTGTACATTCTTCCTCCTTGTTTTAATCTACCTTACAACAGCCTCGACACTCGACCACCTTGTAAGTTCTCGCGCTCACGTGTCCGCTCTTGTCTCGCTTCATCCATCCTCGTCTTCGTGTAGCCCATCGAATACAGTCCGCTGTATCCGACTCCAAATGCCTTCTGAAATTCCGCGCTTAATTTCGCGCACCATCTCCGACTGGTATTAACTAGTCCTACGAATTGGTGACCCCGATTCGCACGCGCGAATTCAACTTTTTGTCCTCGTTTGTATTTTTGGTGAGTTCTTTCCTTTTTCTCGATTATTTACCTGTATTCATTTATTTTTCGCCTAATTTGAGTACTTTCATCGTGTTTTTGTTCGTCGTTTCGAGTGTGACATCTGAGTCGTTTTGCAGCGCAAACATCCTCACTTCGGCTGTTCCAAGTTTCATGGAACACAGCCAAGAAGTGTGGTTTACGATATTCCAGACCGAACTGGAAAATAAAGGCATTACGGCGGACCGTCCGAGGTACAATCAGCTCATCCAACGCCTTCCTCCGTCGGTTGTGACGCTGATTGAGGACATTCTACTCTGCCCATCGAATGAGGCAAAGTATGATACGATGAAGTAAGCGATTTTAAACGCGTTACGACTGAGCGCACGAGCTCGATTTGAATAGCTTAATGGTCTCAAGCTTGGAGATCGCAAGCCGTCGGCGTTGCTCCGCGAACTTTAGCGCACCGCTGGTCCCTTATTCTTGAGCGAAGAAGGAATAAAGGGGCTGTGGTTTGCACGTCTCCCAGAGCCATTGCCGGTAATGCTATCCATGTTTATAGACGCACCCCTGAAATAATAAGCTGCCAAGGCAGACGCTGCGTTCGAACGTTTTCCGCAGCAGACGACCAGTATCTCCGGTGACGTATTCTCACCGATGAAAACCGAATCCCATATTTGCTCCCAGTCGTCAGACCGATCTGACCCTGAAGACGAAGAAATCACGCTACTTCGCAGCAGGATAGCAGCAATGAAGTCTTCGAAGCAACGGGTGCCACGGTCAAATGCTGAGCACATTTTGGCTACCGTTCATTGCGGCTTGTATGTGCTTGCACCGAGTATGAACAATGAACAATGATTTATCACGGGATAAAAGCAAGTGCTTGAGACGTCCCGTAGGATGGTTGAGGTGAATATGATGAAATCAAAATATGTCTGGGTCATCTATAGAACGTCTGCCGATATGAATAGTTTGATAAGTAACATCAGTGTAAAATTAAAATAAATTATCGAGCGTAAACGTTCAGAAAGACACTGGGGTGCAGTGATCATTGAGGTAAAGAGTGAGAAAATTAAAATATGGTCGCTCACTTAGGCCCATTTGATACATAAATGCTGTTGAAATGCATCCTTGGCGTAATTCACAGTAGGGGAGTTTAGGTAACAAAATATTGGGAGCTAAGAGCAACATCTAATCGTTTTTTGAAAACATCCAGGGTAGGAGAGGATACTACTGAGTCTGGGAGTGCGTTTTAAAGTTTGCAAACCCGAAGGGAAAAGTAATTCCGTCGACACTCTAGACGGCTGTATTGTTCCTTCAACTTTAGGCAGTTACCCCTTAGCTGCGTGATTGCATACGTGATTGGGGTCACACAATATTTGATACGCTAATATGAGATCACCGCGCAGACTTCGATGGCGCCCGCTGAAAATTCTCAGCAACTTCAGCCTTCGGTGGTAATGTAGAGGGGCCGCTTCCAAGAATGGCTCTGGGGAGCTCTTCGGAGCTAGCTGAGAGCGGATCGCGTAAGACGGCTAGCGACGAGCCTGGGCCCGGAACTACGGAGCGGGAATATGTGGACAGCGCAATACATCAGACAAATACGCCGCTAGCGCAGCCCACAGGACCGAGGCCGAACCGATTGACACAGCCCAGAACAAGCAAGTCGAGAGCTCTCGAACGACTCCTGGTTGATCCAAATCGGGTGCAGAGAAGCGGAGATCGAGGCGAAAACAGGAAGGCGGATCTTCCAAGTCAGAGCTCCCGAGACGAAAGGACTGGCTCGTCTCCAACATCCGTACCTGTGATGCGTGGTGGGACGGAAATCTAGTCGATATTCAAACTCCAGGGTAGCAGAGGATTACAATGAGACTAGGAGTGCGTTCCAAGGTTTGCAAACCCGAAGGAAATGTAATTCCGTCGACACTCTAG